TACTAGAAGGGGAAGTTGATTGGGAGCATGAACAAAGTGGGAAGGGGGCCAGAGGTCTAAAGCAAAGAATAGTGTGAGCTTTGGTGGTGGGGGAGGTGACAGGTTTTGAGGAGGTGTGAACATATTCCCCTAAATCACTTACAGTATTGTAAACCAATGTCAACACAATAAAAAAAAAAGGTTTAAAATTCTTCATTTATAACATTTATTAATATTAAAACCTGATTTAAAATTCTGGATGTTTCCAAAGCCTTGTTCCCATTGCAATTTTGTTTAGAGCATCAAGAGTATCCAAGACCTCCCTGGTGGCACAAGGTGTTAAGATGCAACCTATGAAGTTGTCTGCAGCCTCTGCAGCACAAATTCAATCCCTGGCTGGCCAGGGAGCTACCCACATGGCACAGCAGACCTCTCCTGACTCGTCTACCACTCCCCTCAGCAGTGTACTTCAGTCAATCTGCCTGTTCTGTTCCCCACTCTGTCTCTGGTGAATCCTCTCATCCCCCTACACCTCTGACCTGTACCCTAGTTCTTGCATGCATAAATAAATAAGTCTTTAAAAACAAAGAAAAAAGGAAAAAGATAGTATCCAAAGAAAATATTGTATGAAAACAACATGATTTTTTAAAGGATTATTTATGCATACAAGAGCTGGGGTACAGGCCAGAGATGCAGGACAGCTTCATAGGTTGTCTTAGCCACTTGCACCACCAGAGAGGCCCAACAACTTGATTTTTTTTTAATATTGTTACAGTATTCTCAGATTGAATTCCTGAAAAGAACACCAGTCTGTCCATGTGATACAGTTACAGATATGAACACAATATGGATATAAGTGGCTCTGCTAGGTTAAGGAGAAATCAGAGAGTAATGCATTGCAATCAGTAGCTCCTCCAACTCTTCAGAAAATTATGGAGGAAAATCACTTTGACATGATTTCTTTATTCTGCTGAGGAATACTTACGAGTGGCCAGCAGATGCCACTGTTGTCAGTTGTAAACATGTCTTTCTTCCAAGTTTCAAATAGAGATGTCTTTACAATAAAAAGGGTTAAGTGAACTATAACAAAAATCATAATTTCATCTTCTTAAAAAATGTGACAAGATAATATATGATTGGATTTTATTACTTACCTTTAAAGAAAATATGGTTTAGACACTTGGCAAATAAAAGACATAAACTAAATTATGAGAAAAAAAATTAACAAGGAAAAGCCTTCCATGCTTGAAAATAGCAATCATGTTTAGAAGTCAGATGTTGATTCAATGACAAGTGTTGATTGGTAACCATATTTAATCCAAAGATGTAGTATATCCCAATAGATTATATTATATTATATTATAATATAATATATTATATTATATATTAAACCTAGAAGAAATGGAATTTTAGAATCATAAAATCTTTCAAAAAATAAATGAGGAAGAAATAGATAGCTTGAAAAGTCTACTCATAATTGCAGAAATTGAAACAGTATTCAAACATCTCCCTAGGAACAAAAGACCCGGACCTAGTGAATTTTATCAAACTTTCAATGAAGATCTAATATCTATCCTTCTCAACATCTTCCAAGAAATGGAATCAAAGGCAGGGATTTGGTGTAGGAGACACCCAAAGCATAATTTAGGACACTTTCCTGATCCCAAAACCAAAGATTGCATCAAAAACAAACAAACAAAACAAAACAAAAACAAAGAAGAGAAAACAGTCCCTCTGGAAAGCAGTATGGAGTTTTTTCAAAAGATTAAGAACAAATCTGCCATATAACCCAGCAACTGCACTCCTAGGTATCTACCTGAAAATGTGACAAGGTAATGTATGATTGGATCTTATTATTTACCTTTAAAGAAGGGAAACTTGCTCTCCCATGTTCATTCCAACACTATTTTAGAAAGAAACTAAGTGCCCAAAAACAGATGAATGGATCAAGAAGATGTAGTGTATATACACAGTGGAATACTACTGAGCCAGCAAAAAAAGACAAAAACATGCCATTTGTGGCAACATGGACAGAGCTGGAAGATCTATGTTAAAAAAAAAAAAAAAGCCAGGAGGAGAAAGGCAAATATGAAATAATAAAAACTAAAAACAAAAGTTAAACAATTGGGATTACCTCATTTTAAAAAGCTTCTATACAGCAAAAGAAAATACAAGATGATTAAATAGACACTCTACTGAGTGGAAAAATACATACACAATGTATAATATTTACACGTGTAGAAAACCAGCAAAATAAAAAGGAATTGATCATATAAACCTCTCAAAGTGAGTTCTTACCAACAACTGTATTGTTGGTGAGGTGCCCAGGACACCCAAAAGTGTGCTGGATTCCCCACATGACTGGTTGTAATATAAGATCAAGTTCCACAATTCTTTGACAATTCCTGCTCCTGCCCCATAGGACCATTCTCCCCTCACCTCCATGTCTTTGCTGTGCAAGGATGATGGCTTGAAAATTGCCTTGTCTCTGGGCCTCCTAGTTCTGTTGGAAGACATAATTGGTCTTAATACCTCATCAGTCAATATCTGCGATGAAAGAAATTTCAGATGTACCACTGAAAAAAAAGGCAAGTCTGGCCTCTGGAAGTCTCCACCCTCTTTTTCCTTAAAATGTATGTGATGTCTCTTCATCCACCTGTGGTTTTCCAGATTTTTTACCCCCATTTGTTAGCACCTCTCCTTTTCCCACTGCGTAGTCATTGCTCCTTTATCATGAAGTAAGTATTGATATGTATGAAGATTTATTTCTGGGTTTTCAACTTTGTCTTATTTATCCAGGTGTTTTTTTGTATTCCACATCCATAGTGTTTTAATTACTGTTGACGTATAGATCAGTTTAAGTGGGCAATGCAGGGCCTCCCCAGTGGCGCAGCGGTTGAGCTCTGGGCTGCGAAGCTGCCCGCAGCCTCTGCAGAGCTGGTTCGATCCCCGGCCACCGGTCGAGGGTCCCACAAGGCATGCAGACCTCTCCTGCTGCCCACTGCTCCCCTCAGCAGTGTACTTCATTGCTCTGCCTGGTCTACTCTCTGCTCTGGCTCTGGTGAATTCTCTCACCCTCCCCCACCTCTGACTGTACCCAGTGCTTGTATAAATAAATAAATATTTAAAAAAAAAGACAACTAAAAAAATAAAAATAAATTTAAAAAAAAGGAAAAAAAAAAGTGGGCAATGCAATGCCTGTATGTTTTTCCTTTCTGTTCAGGATTGTTTTGGCTATTCAAGGTGTTTTATCATTTCATATAAATTTCACCTTTTTTTGCATAGAAGAACTAGGGTATAGGCCAGAGGTGCTGGGAGGGGTGAGGTGGGAGACAGAATGAGGAGCAGAATGGGTGGATTGACTGAAATCCACTGCTAAGGGGAGCCATGGGTGAGACAGGAGAGGTCTGCTGCGCCCCATGTGGGTAGTTCCCTGGCAGAGGATTGAACTCAGGCCACAGTGGTGACAGCACAGTGATTTTACCCTTAGGCCACCAGGGAGGCCCAATTTTCACATTTTGTTCAATATCCTTAAAAATATTGTTAATTTTTCCCCAGTCATTTTCAGTTGGAAAGTACAAACTAGAACAGATGTTTAACTCTCTATACATTCACAGGTACTACTTTCACTCACACATGTTAACTATGTTGTACCCCACAGGAGAAGATCATCTTGTATCATTCAAGGTGTGGCTAAAACTTTGACAACCCTGTGGCAACTTTGACAACCAGCGGCAATTTCCATTGATTTAATTGCATTGGAGAAGACTTGGGCAATTTCCAGGAAAACTGAAGATTGATAAGCCCAACATATTATTGCTCACAAAGATCTAGCCTCTCCCCTGGTAGAGGATTCTAAGTCCTCACCTGTTTCCATAGATCTGCCATCCCGCCCTGTAGGGGATTGCTCAGATGATTTGTCCTGGCCAATTGAATATGAGTCGACATGGGTATTTTTTGCTTGAACAGAAGCTCTTAAAGGCATTACAAGTTTGTGTCAGTCTCCTACCCAGATTCCCTGTGTCAGGAGAGGGATCTACAAATACAAAAGGAGGTATTTCCATCCCAAATGCAACACTTTCAGTGGACTGTTACTTCAAATTTCTGAAGTGATTTCAGAGCTATGAACTTTTTTTGGTGAATGATTCCTTTTTTATATCTAATGAAAATGAAAATCACATGCTAATGTATTGCATAAATATCTTTATTACTTAAATGTTTATAAGTTATGACTTTAATTTCAAAGGAGAACATTTCTAGATAATGTTACACATTTCATATTAATGTTTATTATATCTGGTTTAAGGCACACAGTGCAAAATACTTCTTTTCTGATACAGAGATCCCTAAATGTTTATCTAACCTCATGATACAAAGTCAATTTAGTACCTTTTGTGGTACAATATACCCCTAATAAGCGTCTGGAAAAAAAGAACTTTGTGGATAAAACTAATATACTATATTTACTAACAAAAAATCTATTAGTAGATTCTTTTTTTTTTTTTTGGTTTACAAAGTAGGTCTTCCTAGAAAAATATTATTTATCATTTCTTGAAAATTATAATAATATAGAATATACAATTAAATTATCCATCTGAAAAAATCCCTTAATACCTGAGAATTTGCCCATGAACACTTAATTCTTACATTATAATTTATATTGTTTTTGAGAAACCTCAGATAGAAAATAACCTGCACATCTCTAATAAAAATTGTGCAGATGTAAACAAAATTTTATGTTTACCAACATAAGATCTTCAAAATTTTAAATCTTCTTACTTCTCTACTCATTAATAAATATAGTATATAATTTGAGAAAATGGATTTTTAAAGAGTAGATATATACACATATGAGTTATAAAGACATAATAGAATATAAACATACAAAAAATTGTTGCTCTTGTAAGCATAGTCAAATTAGAGGTAGGTGTTTTAAATAAAACTCTATGTCAGATCTTCTGTATTATACCCACAAAATTTCATAGTTAGCCCAAGCATATGTTTTTATAAACAGATATTGTACCACATATTTAGGACTATGTTTTTTATTTGAAAAACAATATTCCACTATTAAAAATTAGAAGAAATATGAAACAGGGTATCTAAACTGTATCAGCAGAAAGTATAATGGCTATGTACTTTTTAAATGTAACTATTGATTCACTAGTCACTTGATCAATAATAATTATAGTTTGATTAAGTTCATTTTCCTAATTTTTACAAATTTTAAAAATTGCCCCATTTTAACAAGAAGTAGAATAAACATTTTGTTATAAATAGGATACGATAGAGATTGACGTGTGTATTTATAGGCATAATATTACTGTGGTTCAATCCAAGTTAACAGCAACATTGTTTTGGTATAATTCACTCAAACACCCTGTATCTCCCACGATAAATTATCGTGTTCTTTAAAAAGGCTTCTCATTTGAGCCATATGTCCGTTAACTTTAATGTGAGAACTTGAAAAAAATTAAGCAATGATTTGAATCACTAAGTGAGCACCTTGGGACAAAAAAGGCACAGACATTTTGCAGGAAGAGAACAGGAAAGAAATGAGCACCGTTTATATAGATGTTTCAGAGACAGTCTTCTCTTGGGGACATACTGTCTACTATTGGGTGTTTATATGACTTGAACCGGGAGACCAATAGCCATGTGAGGAACACACTTTCCACAGAACCCTCCACATCTGCCATATACCTTGGTTCCATCCTGAAAATAAGAGGCAGAAACAAGAGGATAATCTTAAACAAACTGGTATTTGCATGCGCAAGACAGAAAAAGCAAAAGTTTTGAATCACATGGCTGAAATCATTAACTGAAGTTTCTTAAAAAATTACATTTAAGGTCAAATTTCAGGAGTAGTTCAAGCTCATGGTCACAGGAATTGGATAACCTAAGATTTGAATTAGCAATTTGATGATTATAAACTACACTGTAGTGTAGATAATTCATCTCAGTCCACATATTTTTTTGGTCAAGGTATCCATTTGTTTCAATGTGTTTACTAAAAACTCTCCCAATTTGCTGTCAAATATTTACATGATTTTATATAAGATTCTCATAGACTAAATAAAAGACAGCTATTTCACAAACTTGACCTTTACTGTATACAAATCATATTCTATCCACTAAACTCAAAAATTTCATGGGAGCATTAGAAATACAGGCTGAAGAAAAATAGGGAAAGTTGGTAAACGAGAGAAAATTGGGCTGAAAATTGTAATTACAATTAGAAAAGGACTAAAAGGAGATTAAAAAACAATTTTTCCACTGTGATGTGTAAAGGGGTTAGTCAAAATATGACAGATTTTTTTTCTCTAGACCACCTTCCATATTTCTTTTTTTTGTATATTTATATATAAATTATTTTATTTTATATAATTCTTATATCATTTTTCATTTTTGCATAATGTATGCATTTTCATTTTGGTAATATTCCACATACAATTCCCACCCCTTTTTCTGACACTAATCCTTCTTCTCCTCTTCCCACCCCCCAGTGTAGTGTGTCTCTGGTCTATAGTTGCTTGTTGATTTTGATTTTTACTTTATTGCAATTAGTCTTTTTCCTGGTCTCTTTTTAGGTTTTCTAAATTCCTGCTATGAGTGAGACCATCTGGTATTTTTCTTTTTCTTTCCGGCTTATTTCACTGAGCATGTTTCCTTCCAGCTCCATCCATGTTGCTGCAAATGGCATGAGTTTATCTTTTTTGATTGCTGAGTAATATTCCACTGTGCATATGTACCACATCTTCTTGATCCAGTCATCTATTTTTGGGCATTTGGGTTGTTTCCACAGCTTAGTTATTGTAAATAGTGCTGCTATAAACATAGGGTGCAGGTACCCTTTTGAATTAATGTTTCTGTGTCCTTTGGGTAAATACCTATTTGTGGAATTGCTGGATCATATGGAAGCTATGTCTTTAGTGGGTTGAAGAATCTCCATACAGCTTTTCATAGTGGTTGGACCAGTTTGCACTCCCACCAACAGTGCAGAAGAGTTCCTTTTTCTCCACAACCTCGCCAACAATTGTTGTTGTTAGTTTTTTAATATGTGCCATTCTCACTGTTGTAAGATGGTATCTCATGGTAGTTTTGATTTGCATTTCCCTGATTACAAGTGATGTTGAACATTTTTTCATATGCCTGTTGGCCATTTGCATATCCTCTTCAGAGAAGTTTCTTTTTAGCTCTTCTGCCCATTTTTTGACTGGATTATTTTCTTTGTTGTTGTTGAGTCTCATCAGCTCTTTGCAGATTTTTGTGATCAGTCCTTTATCATTAGTGTTGGGTGCAAAAATGTTCTCCCAGTTGGTGGGGTTTCTCTTTGTTTTTGTTATTGTCTCTTTTGCTGTGCAGAAGCTCTTTAATTTGATGTAGTCCCAGCTGTTGATCTTTGCCTTCACTATCACTGCTTTGGGTGATGTGTCTGTAAAGATGTCTTTGATGTGAATATCACGTAGTGTTTCACCTATATTTCCTTCTATGTATTTTATGGTTTCAGGTCTTATGTCTAGTTCTTTAACCCATTTTGAGTTGATTTTTGTGTATGGTGTGAGGTAGTGGTCAAGCTTCATTCTTTTACATGTAGCGACCCAGTTTTCCCAGCACCATTTATTGAACAAACTTTCTTTGCTCCAATGCATAGTCTTTGCTCCTTTGTCAAAGATTAGTTGACCATAAATCTGTGGGTTTATTTCTGGATTTTCTGTTCTGTTCCATTCCATTGATCTGTAGGTCTGTTCTTGTTCCAATACCATGCAGTTTTGATGATTATGGCTTTGTGGTATAGTTTGAAGTCTGGGAGTCTGATGCCTCCATTCCCTTCTTTTTTTTTCAGGAGAGCTTTGGCTATTCGGGGTTTTTGTGATTCCATATGAATTTCATCAATAATTGTTCTATTTCTTTGAAGAATGACATTGAAATTTTTATTGGAATAGCATTGAATTGGTTTATTGCTTTTGGTAGGATGGCCATTTCAATAATGTTTATTCTTCCAATCCATGAGCAGGGATGTCTTTCCATTTCTTTGTGTCTTCTTCTATTTCTTTTAACATTGTTTTATAGTTTTCTTTGTATAGGTCCTTTACCTCTTTTGTTAGGTTTATTCACAAGTATTTGATATTTTTTGTTTCAATAATAAAAAGGATGTTTTTTTTTTATTTCTTCTTCTTCAGATTTATTTTCTGTGTATAGGAAGGCTACTGATTTTTGTGTTGATATTTTATCCTGCCAATTTACTAAACTGATTGATTAGTTTAATTAGTTTTTCTGTGGATATTTTAGGTTCTCTATGTATATTATCATATCATCTTTGAATAGTGATAGTTTAACTTCTTCCTCCCCTATTTGGATTGCTTGTAAGTCTTTCTCTTGTCTTATTGCTCTGGCTTGGACTTCCATTATTATGCTGAAGAGCAGTGGTGAGAGTGGACATCCTTGTCTTGTTCCAGATCTTAATGGAAATCCTTTCAGCTTTTCACCATTGAGAATGATACTGGCTATGGGCTTGTCATATATGGCCTTTATGATGTTGAGATATGTTACTTGTATCCTGAGAAGTTCAAGGGCCTTTATCATAAATCGGTGGTGTACTTTGTCAAAAGCTTTCTCAGCAGCTATTAATATTATCATATGGTTTTTATATTTCTTTTTGTTGATATGTTGGATTACATTGATTGATTTTTGGATACTGAACCATCCTTGTGTCCCTGGAATAAATCCTTCTTGGTAGTGGTGAATTATATTATGGATACATTTTCAGATTCTGATTGAGGATTTTTGCATCTGTGTTCATTAGAGAAATTGGCCTGTAGTTTTCTATTTTTGTGCTGTCCTTGTTCAGTTTTGGTATTAGGGTAATGTTGGCTTCATAGAATGTGTTTGGTATTATCCCTTTCTTCTCTATTTTTTGAAAGATTTTGTGAAGGATAGGCACTAATTTGTTTCTGAACATTTGGTAGAATTCATTTGCAAATCCATCTGGTTCTGGGCTTTTGTTTGGGGACGTTTTGATTACCATTTCAATTTTGCTGCTTGTAATTGGTCTGTTTAGGTGTTCTATTTCTTCTTTATCTAGCTTTGGGTGATTGTCGAGTTGTAGGAATTTGTCCATCTCTTCTAGATTGCTGAACGTGTTTGCATATAACTGTTCATAGTAGTTTCTGATTACTCTTTTGATTTCTGCTGTGTCTGTTGTGATTTCTCCTCTTTCATTTGTGATCCTATTTATTTGTGCTTTCTCCCATTTTTCATTTGTGAGCCTGGCTAGGGGTTTGTCTATTTTATTTATTTTTTCAAAGAACCAGCTTTTGGTTTCATGGATCTTTTGGATTGTTTTTTTAGTTGAGATTTCATTTATTTCTGCTTTGATTTTAATTATTTCTTTTCTTCTGCTGGTTTTGTTTTTTTTTTGTTGTTGTTGTTCTTTTTCTAGTTCTTTGAGCTTGGAGATTAGGTTGTTTCTTTGAGTTCTTTCTTTTTTCTTGATGTGAGCTTCTATTGCTATATATTTTCCTCTTTTTACTGCTTTTGCTGCATCCCATACATTCTGGAAAGTGGTGTCCTCCTTGTCATTCAACTCAAAGTATTTTTTTAATTTCTTCTTTGATCTCATTAGTCCAGTGGTCTTCCAGTAGTATTGGTTTCACTCTCCAGGAGGTAGCAGATTTCTTTGCCTTCTTTTTATGGTTTATTTCTAGTTTGATGCCTTTGTGATCAGAGAAGATGGTTGGTATGATTTCAATCTTGGTGTATCTGTTGATGTTTGTCCTGTGTCCCAGTATATGATCAATCCTGGAGAATGATCCTTGTGCGCTTGAGAAAAATGTGTACTCAGATTTTTTGGGGGGTTTAGTGTTCTATAGATGTCTGTAAGCCCATGATCTAGATCCTTATTTAGAGCTTTAGTGTCCTTACTTATTTTTTGTCTCATTGATCTATCCATTTTTGTTTTTTTTTTCTTAGAAGATCACTTGTGATTTTATTTTATTTTTTTTCCTTTTTTTAATTAATAAATTTTATTTTTATATTCCCCATACAATTGCAATCCCCCCATTCTGACCCCAATCCCTCCCTCCCGCCCCCCACCCCCAAAAAGTGTCTCTGGTTCATAGTTTTTGTTGATTTTGATTTTCACTTTCTTATAGTTATTCATTTTCCTGGTCCCTTATTTAAGTTTTCTAGATTCCTGCTATGAGTGAGACCATCCGGTATTTTTCTTTTTCTTTTTGGCTTATTTCACTGAGCATGATCCCTTCCAGCGCCATCCATGTTGCTGCAAATTGCATGTGTTTATCTTTTTTGAATGCTGAGTAATATTCCATGGTATATATGTACCACATCTTCTTGATCCAGTCATCTATTTTGGGGCATTTGGGCTGTTTCCAAAGCTTAGCTATTGTAAATAGTGCTGCTATAAACATAGGGGTGCAGGTGTTCTTTGGAATTGATGTTTCTGTGTTCTTTGGGTAAATACCTAGGAGTGGAATTGCTGGATCCTGTGGAAGCTCTATGTTTAGTAGGTCCAGAAATCTCCACACAGCTCTCCATAGTGGTTGGACCAGTTTGCACTCCCACCAACAGTGCAGAAGAGTTCCTTTTTCTCCACACCCTCGCCAACATTGGTTGTTGCTAGTTTTTTTAATATGTGCCATTCTCACTGGTGTAAGATGGTATCTCATGGTAGTTTTGATTTGCATTTCCCTGATTGCAAGTGATGTTGAACATTTTTTCATATGCCTGTTGGCCATTTGCATATCCTCTTCAGAGAAGTTTCTTTTTAGCTCTTCTGTCCATTTTTTGACTGGATTATTTTCTTTGTTGTTGTTGAGCCTCATCAGCTCTTTGCAGATTTTTGTGATCAGTCCTTTATCATTAGTGTTGTGTGCAAAAATTTTCTCCCAGTCCGTAGGGTTTCTCTTTGTTTTGGTTATTGTCTCTTTTGCTGTGCAGAAGCTCTTTAATTTGATGTAGTCCCAGCTGTTGATCTTTGCCTTCACTATCACTGCTTTGGGTGATGTGTCTGTAAAGATGTCTTTGATGTGCAAATCACGTAGTGTTTCGCCTATATTTCCTTCTATGTATTTTATGGTTTCAGGTCTTATGTCTAGTTCTTTAATCCATTTTGAGTTGATTTTTGTATATGGTGTGAGGTAGTGGTCAAGCTTCATTCTTTTGCATGTAGCGACCCAGTTTTCCCAGCACCATTTATTGAACAAACTTTCTTTGCTCCAATGCATAGTCTTTGCTCCTTTGTCAAAGATTAGTTGACCATAAATCTGTGGGTTTATTTCTGGATTTTCTATTTGATTCCATTGGTCTGTATGTCTGTTCTTGTTCCAATACCATGCAGTTTTGATGATTGTTGAAGTCTCCTACTACATATGTGTTTTCTCTGATGTCTGTTTTCAGAGATGATGACAGTTGTCTGATATATTTCGGTGCTCCTTCATTGGTTGAGTATATGTTAATGAGTGTTATTTCTTCTTTTTTGTATTTAAATATTTTATTTTATATAATTCTTACATCTTTTTTCATCTTTGCACAATGTATGCATTTGCATTTTGGTTATATTCCCCATATAATTGCACCTCCCCCCTTATTTTGACTCTAGTCCTTCCTTTCCCCGCCCTTCCCCTGGCCCCCTCCCATAGTGTGTCTCTGGTTTATAGTTGCTTGTTGATTTTGATTTTTACTTTGTATTGATTAGTCTTTTTCCTGGTCTCTTATTTAGGTTTTCTAAATTCCTGCTATGAGTGAGACCATCTGGTATTTTTCTTTTTCCTTCTGACTTATTTCGCTGAGCAAGTGTTATTTCTTCTTGAAGTATTGTCCCCTTGATCATGATGTAGACCGTCGGGGTTTCTTTTTACCTTTTTGAGTTTGAAATCCCTTTTATCTGATATAAGTATAGCTGTTCCTGCCTTCTTCTTGGTCTATTTGCTTTTAGGATTATTTTCCATCCTTTTACTTTCAGTCTATTTTTATCTTTTGTAGTTAAATGTGTTTCCTGAAGACAGCAAAAGGTTGGGTTTTGTTTCTTAATCCAGGCAGTGCCTCCATGTCTTTTTATTGAAGAGTTTAGTCCATTTACATTGAGTTACTATTGATATGTTAGTATCTGTATTTGCCATTTTGTTTGTCTTTCCTCTGATTTTATTTATTTATTCTTTTAATAACTTTCTTTTCTTTTTTTTGGCCTTGTTTCATTGTTATTCATCCCTCTGTTGGTTCTGGTTTTATGACTCCCTGTAGTATTTTTTGGAGTGGGGGTTTAGTCATAATGAAATTCCAGAGTTTCTGTTTGTCTGGGAAGGTCCTTAATCTTTCTTTATAGAGGAAGGAAAGCTTTGCAGGATAGAGTATTCTTGGTTCACATTTATTGTCTTGGAGTCTGTTGACTATGTCCCTCCACTCCCTCCTTGCCCATAGTGTTTCTTTGGAGAAGATTAAGTAAAATCTTAAGCTTAATTAAATTTGTTGGCAAATGAAAATATAAGTGCATTTCCATATGATAATTGGATTTCGCAAGCCTAAGTTTCATATCAGGCATCAGATTTTAGGGAATATGTTCATTTGCAACATTTACAATTTAGGTAGAAATTCAGTTAAATAAATAATTAATCTTAGACTTAAATAGAAAATGAGGAGTGATTGCACTAAATATTCATATGTTGATATACTGGAGATCTGAGTTCAGTCTTTACATTTAATCAAAAGAGATTTAAAAGCTGCCTAAGTTCAGAAAATTATACTGTGTTTTCCACATTTATACCTGTTCAGAATATAATTCCCATTTTTCTTCCAATAGGGGTTAGACTTAATTATGACTAGTAAATATTTAAAGATAAATAGCCAGCTGTTTTAAAAACCTACTGCTTACCCATATGACAAAAATAATAAAAATTAATATTCTTTCATTGGTGAGCCCCAGTTTCAGAGATTTCAGAAATAGTTTTAAAGGCCATTGAATTTTATTTACAAATAATATTCATATAACTTGGAGTGTAACAGTAATCAGATTTATCAGAGAGAGAAAACCATGAAATACTAGAGTGGGCAGAAGCTTGGATAGTGCTGATTTATGTGCAATCTAGCGAGACCTAGATCCTGATTTACTGTGAAAGAAGACATATCAACATGTATACCTAGAACAGCACACCAGCAGCAAAATTAAGTGGCTTCTTTGTATATTATATAATACATATGCTAGAGGTGGAAGCCTCTAGCATAATAATGTTATCCAGTAATGTTATCTAGATTCAGATACAGGAAAATAGACATAAATCATAAAAAATAGTCATAATTCTTGAAGAAACTATGAAGGATAATTGTTAAAAGACAAATGGCTCTAACATACCACAAACACCAAATCAAAGTAAATAAATGGCAAATTTTCCCCTTACCTTGATATAATAAAACCTACAACCTTTAAAGCCTTCAATTATTAAAGAATGGATGGAGCTGGAAGAGATGATGCTAAGTGAAATAATCAGAAAGAAATAGAGAAATAGTGGATGGTTTCATTTATAGGGGGGATATAGAAGAACCCAAAAAAGGGTCAGGAAAAAGACAAAACTTGCAAGCTGGCCATAGATCTGAAGCATCCAGCAGGAGAGGGGTCAAAATATGGGAGGAAAGAGTACCAGTCCCTAGAAGGGACTATGGTGATAGTCACAGGTGATGCAATGGTAGGAGATTTATGGGGACTACACCTGAGGGGAAAAGTCAAATATTGTACAAAAATGAACAATGTAAGAAAATAAATAAATAAATTCAAAATAAATACATTCAAAATAAATAAATAAATGAAATCGGAAAAAAAAAAATGATGGTGCTCTTTCTGAAGTACATGCATGTCAACTCATTAGCCCCAAACTCCTGTAAGATAAAATCTATATGCTCTACGTTTGATATTTTAGGTTCAGAGATCTGCAACTTGTAATTAATTTGTATGTGCATAAAACTTCTATATGTGCACAAACAAGCATCAATTCAATTCCATAATTTCATAAGTTAATATAATTCCCCATGATACGTAATATACCTCATTATATACAACAAATCATTCGCCATTCACTTTGAAGAATTCTAATTTTAAGATAGAGGATCTTTAATGCTAGCTCTTAGCACAAATATATTTGTCACAGACCTTCTTGTTTAGCAAGACTTACCTGTGATCTGTGTATGATGACAGAGGCGTAATTGCCCTGGGCAAGCCACTTTGCCGTGCTGGATATCTTCATCCCAGTTCCTACCAAATTAATGCTGAATTGTCCCTGGATTGTAAACAAGGCAAACAAAAAGAAATAATGGATTTTTATAAAATATTTAAGAATGTTCTCGGCTATAAGCATCTTGAGTGTGAAATTTATACAAAGTTTGAAAAGGTATACACACAGGGGAAATATGCATATAACCCTAAAAAAGTTCTTATTTTTGAAGACATGCATAAAGTTTTTGAACAAATCCCAGGGCCTCCCTCGTGGCCTGGTGGTCCACTAAGGCCTGAACTTGATCCCTGGCCAAGAAGCTGACCCACATGGCACAGCAGACCTCTCCTATCTCACACACTGCTCCCCTCAGCAATATATTTCAGTAGATCTGCCTGTTCTGCTCCCTGCTCAGTCTCTGATGAATACTCTCACCTCCCTGCACCTCTGCCCTACACCCCAGTTCTTCTACCCCACCCCAACCACAAAAAATAAATAAACCTTAAAAATTCTACCTGGGAAGATGACCAGAAATTAAAAAAAAAATTGAACAAAGTCCTAAAATGAAACCATATTGATAGAACTCTATTGGAAATGAATCCGCCAAAGAATTTTAAAATTGATTACAAGACATAGCTGACTTAATACTACATGTACTAAAGAATTTCTATGCAACAGTGAGACTCTTCAACTGGACTGCAAGAACTAATTATTCTGTAGCACATCTTTCCAGAAGGATATTTACAGGGACTAATAATTGTCAGATTTTAGCATTTTTCCAGTTTCAATTTTTAACCCCTTGTTACTAACTTCTGTGATAAGTTAACACTGCTTAGTATATTTTCTAGAATCCTCTGTTATAATGTCCTTCCCTTTGTGGTAAAAAAAATCATTCCTTAACCCACCACACAAAAACATTGATTATGACATTATTCTCCTGGCTATTTTGTGCTTGTTAAGTACCTACAAGCACGTGTGAACATGTGATATCACATGATTTACATTCAAGGTCTGTGAGCCCCCTAGTGGTGTGATGATAGAATGATTTTCAAGTATAAGAATCTTCTTTCCGTGTCAAAACATTTCAGACTATCTTTTTAAGAAAACGAATAACTATAAGAAAGTGAAAATCAAAATCAACAAAAATCTATGAACCAGAGACACTTTTGGGGGGATGGGTGGCGGGAGGGGAGGGATTGGGGTCAAAATGGGGGGGTTGAAATTGTATGGGGAATATAAAAATAAAATTTATTATTAAAAAAAAAAAAGAATTGAAACTTAAAGGGCCTCCCCTGGTGGCCCAGGCTGTTGAGCATCGCGCTGTGAAGCTGTTCGCAGCCTCTGCAGCGTGGGTTCGATCCCAGCCGATGGCGAGCGTCCCACATGGTGCTGCAGACCTCTCCTGTCTCACTGGCTGCTCCCCTCAGCAGTGTACTTCGGTCAATCTGCCTGTTCTGTTCCCCACTCTGTCTCTGGTGAATCCTGTCACCCTCCCACGCATCTGGCCTGTACCCCAGTTCTTGTATAAAATAAATAAATAAATCTTTAAAAAAAAGAATTGAACTTTAAATATTTGTTGATTGAGAAAATGTGTAATTAAAATTAGTAAAATTTATATCACATTGATATGATTTTATCGACTTACACTTTGAAAAGTAGAGGTACACACTAACTCAGCAAAATTAACATTTTTGTTAATTTTTAGATCTTTAACATTCTTTGATCACATCACAGTATTCCAATGGCCTAAGACTGAAATATCTTAAGAAAGCAAAGATTTCTTAAATAATTGAACTATGAATTAATACCATTACCAAAAATAATTATAGATAAATTTTATGTATTAACCTAGATTTTTTAGCAGTATTATGTCCTTTATAACTTAAAACCAAAAGTCACATCAGAGATGTGAACCTATCCCCTTACATTGTAAACCAATGTTACATCAACAAAAAAAAAAAAATCTAAAAGGTAAATATATAAATAGACCTCTAGATCTTTCATTTTCCATGATAATGAGTGATGTTAATACCAGATACATTAGCATTTTATGTTAATACTTGAATGAGAACTAAGTCTGAGAGACTATGATACATGATCTAACATAGGTTTTTCAACGGAAACTTTCAACCACCTGTCACAAATAAGCTTCGCACCAAATCAAATTCCTCAAACATGGAAATATATCCTGTGATATAGGTTTCTGGCAAGCAGTCACTTATTGAGTGTTCAGGCTGGTCCCACAACTTAACATTCTAATTTCATTTATTCTTTATCTCTTTGCTCAAGGTTGACTGGAAGTATTCAAATACATTAGACATGAAAGAAAAAGATCCCACTGACTACTGAGAGACCGATGGTCATTAACACAAACAGCTGGGTTCAGAAATATCATTCCATTTCTCCAGACTGAGTTTCATGGGCTTTACTTCTGTTCTTCATCTTCATTAAGAAGCAATACAGGGGCCTTCCCTGCTGGTGGAGCCGTTGAGCGCTGGGCTGCGAAGTTCCATCCCCAGCCGCAGGCGAGGGTCCCACATGGCATACAGACCTCTCTTGCTGTGCCCGCTGCTCCCCCCAGCAGTGTATTTCGTCAGTCTGCCTGTTCTGTTCCCTGCTCTGGCTCTGGTGAATTCTCTCATCCTCCCGCACATCTGACTATACCCAGTGCTTGTATGAATAAATAAATAAATCTAAAAAAAAAAAAAAAAAAGAGGCAATACAATACAGAGAAATAAGCCAGAAAGAAAAAGAAAAATACTGGATGGTCTCACTCATAGCAGGAATTTAGAAAACCTAAATAAGAGACCAGGAAAAAGACTAATAGCAATAAAGTAAAAATAAATATCAATAAGCAATTATAGACCAGACACACACTACAGTGGGGGCCAGGGGGAGAAGAAGAGGGATTAGGGTCAGAAAAAGGGGGTGGCAATTGTATGGGGAATATAACCAAAATGAAAATGTATACATTATGCAAAAATGAAAAATTATGTAAGAATTATATAAAAGAAAATAATTTATTAAAAAAGAAGCAATATGATATAATCTCAAATAAATAATCAGAATTCTTCTGAAATTTTGGATGATGTTGATACATTTTATTCATTTGTTCAAGATTAGGTGAGTGCAGACATGGCGTTAAGTCTGATGGGAGTGCAGATACAGGTCTCACTAAATCTAAGCGAAGAATAGATGTCTGGTTTCCAGAGGTGGTGGGTAGAATGAATGAAGGGTAGAAAAATTCCAAACTTCCATTGATAAAATGAATAAGTTCTTGGAATGCAATGTACAGCATGGTGACTATTGCCAACAATACTGTATTGTATACTTAAAAGTTTCTAAGACAGTAGATCTTCAATGTTCTAATCAGAATAAAAAATTCTAACTGTGAAGCAACTAAATTATTATGGCAATCATTTTTTAATATATAGACATATATATCAAATCATGTTGTATGCTTTAAATATATATATTATAATTATATTCCAATGAAACTGGAAAAAGGCTGAGAAGTAAGAGTGTATGTGCAATGCAGAGAATTATAGGGGCCATAAAAATTTACAAGTGCATTTCTATGAAACCTCAGTAGTAATAAATGATTACATGAATGTTTTCATTGATTAATTCAATTCTAAGACTTCATCAATAATAGAATTTAAATCTCCTTAAACCTAGTCTTTAACATGAAAAATTAGTTCAACATAGGAGCTGCTAAAAAGGTATATTTTTAAAATCTAAGATGAAATTTACCTCTTCTCCTACTCTCTTGATATTTTTTAGAAGAGATTACCACAATAAGTAAAATTTTAATAGTTATACAGTGAGACACCATCTCACACCAGTGAGAATGGCACATATTAAAAAAACTAGCAACAACAAATGTTGGTGAGGATGTGGAGAAAAAGGAACTCTCCTGCATTGCTGGTGGGAGTGCAAACTGGTCCAACCACTATGGAAAGCTGTATGGAGATTCTTCAACCTACTAAAGATAGAGCTTCCATATGATCCAGCAATTCCACTCCTAGGTATTTATCCAAAGGACACAGAAACATTAATTCCAAAGAGCACCTGCACCCCTATGTTTATAGCAGCACTATTTATAATAGCTAAGCTTTGGAAACAACACAGATGCCCCAAAATAGATGACTGGATCAAGAAGATGTGGCACATATGCACCATGGAATATTACTCAGCATTTAAAAAAGATAAACACATGTAATTTGCAGCAACATGGATGGCGCTGGAAGGGATCATCCTCAGCGAAATAAGCCAGAAAGAAAAAGAAAAATACCGGATGGTCTCACTCATAGCAGGAAACTAGAAAACCTAAATAAGGGACCCGGAAAAATAATAGCTATCAGAAAGAAAAAATCAAAATCAACAAACAACTATGAACCAGAGACACACTATGGGGGGAGAGTGGGGAAAGGAGGGGTTGGGGTCAAAATAAGGGGGTTGCAAATATATGGGGAATATAAAAATAAAATTAAAAAAATTAAAATATGTAAAAAATAAAATAAATAAAAAATAAAAAAATAATAGTTATATCACAAGTGGAAATTAAGGTGATTCAAATGATCCAGGAATTCAATAAATTTCAATCAAATTGAAAGCAACTGACTGCATCAAAGAAAAACTAATTATGGATATAAGATAGAACAGAGGGGCCTCCCTGGTGGCACAGGGGGTTGAGTGCCACATAGTAAAGCTGTCTGCAGCCTCTGCAGATTGGGTTTGATCCCGGCCGCGAGAATCCCACATGGTGCTGCAGAACTCTCCTGACTCACCTGCTGCTCCCCTCAGCAGTGTATTTCATCAGTCTGCCTGTTCTGTTCCCTGCTCAGTCTCTGGTGAATCCTCTCACCCTCCCGCACATCTGGCCTGTACCCAGGTTCTTGTATCAATAAATAAATCTTTTAAAAAAAAAGGTAGAAGAGAAGTATATAGGTAGATGCACGTTTTAATGTTCTGCTTCTTCAACTGGCTACTTGGTTCATATGCGCTCATTAATCACTATTTCACATTTTTTTACATGAATTTACAAATTTTACTATGTATGGGAT